ATTAATGGAAGCTCTACTCTTCTCTCTCATTTATTTTACTCTTTATAAATGTAAATATAAAAATGACCTGTTAAATACTTTTGAAATTTGGGCTGAACTAAAATTTTCTCAATGCAAATCACGTTCTAAAAGTAAATTAAAGCATTTTATGAAGAATATTAACATTTAACTAAGTCAAGGCTCTCATATAATAAATGATACCCATCATGGAATCAATAATTAGCTTAAACCAAACTAATTTCCACTTTGCATATCTGATGAGCAGCCACTTGCCTGATTCATTATTTCATTCAACTAGCAATTAATTTATGAAGGAACAACATAGTACATAAATATTCAGAACACTTTTTCTTCTAACCCACTGTTAAATGTAAACCAGTATTAATATTTTATAGGTAAGGATCAATTTAAACATCACAATTAAAATAGACATACATTTTATACATTTAGCTGTGCGAAATATAAATTTTAAAATGTCAGTGAAACCAAAAACACTCTCTTCAATTTCTTCAATGATTTTCTTTTATACCTAAAGGCAGATAAAGTACAATATATCTTTGATTCTGATCTGAATTTGCTCCTCACTAAGGGATTTCCCTACGGTCTGTCCTCAAAGATCAGTGCTGTTATTCTAATGCATTGCAACTGAGAGAACAGAAAATACATTTCTAGCTATTTGTGCTTCTTTCTTAACATCCCATCACACTTTATCATTATTAACGATTCTAATAATCTATTTGAAAGATTATCAACTTCTACTAATACACTGTAAAGTTTGTGAAAGTATATCTGAAAAGATATCAAAAAATGAAAATCACATTCTAGATATATTTGAATCTAAGCTTTATTTATGGTTTCAAAACCAAATCTTTCTTTTTATTTGGCAGATTTTTAAGACATACTGCCTCCTGTATATATTTTGATGAAACTTTAATTTTACTTAATCCTATCCTCAATGCTAGTACCATAGCCCAACCCTGAAACTTCCCATTCTCACTCTAATCAGCTTACAAATTACATTTCTCTTTCAGTTGTTTCCATTTTAGTTAGTTTGAATTTAGAGATTTTACTGGATTTTTGGACTCTTTTCTACTTTTCCATCTTTGATGTTGGAATAAAATTGATTTAAAAAAACTATTCTATGCTGATCATTAACATCAGACATTCTGCTAAATACTTTGAATATTGATCTATCTTATTGATGAAAAAGACAAAAGCAAAAATGAGAGAACAAAATGTAGTTTGAAAATTATAAATTTCTGGAGATCAATGTTAGAGAATGATCAAACATTAAGTTCAAAGTTTAGAAAGGTATAAGTCAGATCTTAAAGGTCTTCTATTTCCTTCTAATTAATTTTTACCTGGCCAGTTGGTGAGGGAGATCCAGTACAGAGTGTTATGCGTAGGGGATGATCTGATCCTATGCAGATTTCCAGATACTCTATGCGGGGAACATTTGAAGAAGAAAAACACAGAAATAGTTTGAACCTTTAAGTTCTATATTACTACTTTTAGAAATGTAATGGAAGCCTGAAAAGGCTAAGAGTGGGATTTCAAAGAGGTTATATGTAATAAAAAAAAAAGTACAAAATAGAATGAACAGACTTACTAGTCAATGGAAGATTAAATATTTTAAGAAAAAAGAATTTGACATGATTCTAATATCCAATTATATTGCCCAACTGAGTAGTAATTCTTAACAGAGAGGGAGTAAATACAAATGGAAGTCCTTAATTTTAAGAAACTAAATAATGATTTTGGCACCTGACTTACCAATTCAGTCCATCTATATTGATACAGAATGCAAATGGAAATATCCAGAAATCAAATGGGATAGGAACCTTCCAAGATGTCTACAAGTGTTCACTCTCTACTGGTATTCATGCCCTTTCTTAACACTGTTCTCTCGAATGTGTGATAGACCTATCAAAAATACACAGTTTACATGGTTTCCTGCATTTGTGGTAAATAGAGTGTGCCTATAAATCTAGAAGTAAACATGTTGGTATGCAAGTGGTTACAAATGAATTAGCTGAAGCATAGTAGACTCTATGGAGAACTCGAATCGTATAATTTTTCAGAAAGACTACGTCAAAGCCCAACAACATAAGCACCAGGAAATTGGTACATACATGAAGGTGGGAAGGGCCAATAGGAGAGGTTTGGATGAATAAAGAAGGGAAGAGAAGAAAGTATACAGTCAATAATTCATTATATATCCCACAAACTTAAGAAAAGTAAGTAAAGGGGTAGGTCTAAGGGGCATGAGAATGTTGAAGGAGGTGACACCAATCAATATCCATTATATTAATAAACTGCTTTGTTAAATGACATCTCCCTTGGACAACTACAGATAACAAACATTTTTTTAAAAAAACTAAGATAGGGCTGGGAAGTTGGCTCAGTGGTAGAGCGCTTGCCTTGCATGCCTGAGGCCCTGGGTTCGATTCCTCAGCACCACATAAGCAAAAAGAAAAAAGCCGGAAGTGGCGCTGTGGCTCAAGTGGTAGAGCGCTAGCCTTGAGCTGAAGAGCTGAGGGACAGCGCCCAGGCCCAGAGTTCAGGCCCCACGACCGGACCCAAAAAAAAAAAAAAAAAACTAAGATAAAAATAAGAGACTAAAAAATAGTGGTACATTCATTTCATATGACTGCATAAACACACCACAATTGCCACTGGTGGTCTTAAAAGCAAACTGTGCCGGAGTTCGTTCTTTACTTTTCCAGCTTTTGGTGTTCTTTGGTGGCATGTAGCATTGTAACAGAAGAAGGGACATCAGATGTCCTTGGTGTTCGAAACCAAACTAATTTTACCAACACAAGTCTCATTTTTTGTTCTGTTTATCCCATTTCTGTTAATCCCGCAAACATGCCCCCTTTCCTTCACCTGCCACCCTCCAAATGTCATCTGTCTAAATGTCATCCATCACAACCTTTTTCACTGCCACTTCTCTTGCCTTCGATTAAGTTCCACTGCTTTTTATTTTCATTCCAAGGAAGAATATTTAAGTTTGTGGGTAACCTTGATCAGCATCAATGTCTTGGGGAAAAATTGATTGGTACTGTAGCCCTTGCAATACCCACAGGGTGGCATACACAAATGCCCACTAGTTGTTCCTTGAGTGTGATTCTGTTGTGCAATGACAGCTATGGTGGCATTCACCGGTATACTGTTTCAGGGACTACACTACAAAATCCTCAGGGAAGAAATTACATCTTCTTCATCTCTTGTGTTGCTTACAGTATGTAGTTCGCTGCATAACAAATAACAAGTATTCAGCAAATGATAAATATAAAGAAAGGAAAAGAAAAGCCTGACTTTTATGATGCACTTTTCTTTCCTTTATTCAGAAACATATCTCAACTAGATTAAAGTCATTTAAAGATAGCATTAACTATCTTGTTCTCCCCACAATCTTTCCTCTCTAGGTAATGATAAAATGGGAATACCTACCTAACATCCAAATCACAGAATTTATTGCCCACAACTCTGTTACTTCTACCCTGTTTTTTTTCCAATTTCCTCAACATCCTCTGTATTTTTCCAGCCCTGTACCTTTTTTCAAGTGGATACTCTATTTTGATTTACTGCCTAAAACAAAGCTTCTCTCTTAACTGTGAACTGCTCCTCATCCCAATTTCGAAGTTTCATCACCAGCAACTGTCCTTTGCCTTCTTTCTTGGCACTTCACATATCCTGTCTCTAAGTCACTGAAATGTATTTTTTATTGAAAGTTAGTTATAACAAGGAACTATCTGTGTGCCTTTCTGTCCTTAATCTCAATCATCATTCCTATCATTGCTTAATCACAGTGGTAAAGAAGTAGTGTAATTACGTCTACAACAAACAACAGTTGAGTGAATGAGTACTTGCAATCAAACAAGGCACTTGAAATGGTATTGTAAAATTAAAGGTAAATAGAAATAGATAAATGACAGACATATAGTCACTTTCTCCTCAGGTACATTATGTAAGGGAGAATATTTGTTGAGTATATGTAAGAAAGAGAATAAAAAATCAACATCGTGTAATGGCATGGCAAAATAAAATGCAGACAGAAATCAATAAATGACAGATAAATAGTCACTTTCTTCCCAGCCATGTTATGTAAAGGAAAATATTTATTGAGTATATGTAAGAAAGAGAATAAAAAAATTAAAATCTAGGTAGGGGCCAATGACTCAAAACTGTAATCCTGGCCACTCAGAAGACTGATATCTAAGGAACTAACCATCAAAAGCCAGAATGCAGTTGTGGCTCAAGTGGTAGAGTGCTGGTCTTGAACAAAAATACTAAATGACAGTGAGGAGACCCTGAGTACAAGTCCCAGTACCATAAAAAAAAACAAAGATTCTTAATTTTGAATTTTTAATTCAGTACTGTTACAGCAATCAACTGAATGAGAAAATATGGTAAACAATTAATTAATGAGGAAATATGATTAATGTATTGATCATACTAATCATTAATCATATTAATCATTAACCATTTTTAAACTGATAAAAACTGCATCTCATTCCTACCTTCAGCAAGAAAACTCAGCAATAAGAATTAAAACACCTTAACCATCATAGTCATTGAACTAGTTGATGGTATTTTTGTCATGTATACATCAATCTTTCTATCAGGATAGTCAGTGAATATTAAATATAAATGCCACAAAACTATGTTTAACTCACTGGTGCTGCATATAAAAAACAGTGGAACTATGACACTGCTATTTAGAGTTTCAAAGAATACAACAAAAAAAGATTTGCTGCAAAAATAATTTTTAACAAGCATCAAAGAATTCAGATACTAGCATCACCACTTTTGTAAATGGAAAAAAAAGGAATGATATAAAACAAAATGATTGCAACAGTTACTTTCAAAGAACGGTATTCACTGCTGCCTTTTATTCTATATTTTGTATTTGGCCATTTTGGACAACAAAGTAATATCTTAAATACTCAGTACAAGATAAAGCACTCGGAAATATAAAAGTAATTACTTCTTCTTACCTGAGTTTGCCAAAATAGAGTGGAAAAAATGCAGACACACAGCTCCACGGAACTTCAATCATACAGCTGCACCAGAACAGTCCCTCTGACACTTTTCCTCTTAAGTATATCAGATGGAATCACATATACCTACAAATAAAATTAAAATTGTACTTAGTACATTTAATCAAGGAATTTAAAGGTTGCTTCTGAAATTCTTGTTACGTTTCTTATGAAAATAATAAAACATACATTTTTTCATTGGTAATTGAGTTAGATTTCTGGATGGTGGCAAATTGTGGAAATGCTAAACAATAACTGTCTTAAGTCAGATACATTAGTGTTATCACACAATAAAAGTTGGAGGAGAGAGGAGAGAAGAGAGAGAAATCTACATCTTTCTCTTGAGCTATACAAATAGCTCCTTCCTATCTTAATTAGACCAACCAGATACATGCCTTGTTCATTATACTATGAACGTAAAACCAAATATTAGAAAACATTCATGTTTTTTCATCTTCATTTCACTTCCTTGGCTGGAGAAATGATAGCTTATCCCTTTATTCATTTTTGTGCTATATGCATGATAATAAGGCTGTTAGTTAAGAAAGACCTTTTCTCAACACAGAAATGAAGATGTCTTTTCAGAAAAAGACAACAGCACAAATTGTGTTCCCTTAATCTATGCACTTCAAATAACTTCTAATATAAATTCAGACATACCAGGAAATTTCATAAAATAGTCTGTTCTTGCCAAAACCACTTTTTAAGTGAGGTAACATATAACTTTAGTCCTGTCTTCCTAAGATTGAAGCAAACACTTTGACACAGATATTAGTGATGTCAGATGAACTTGCTTTTTGACTTTCTTCAAAGACAGATGTCAAATATTATTCATTCCTGCTTCAGTGTCTGCATCTCCGCCATCTTAACAATGTGAAAACTGTACTTTTTCACCTCAGGCATAATCATCTGTGGAAACTGATTTATCCATGGTCCTTTTTTTAAATTTTTTTAACGTAATTTTAGTTATAAAGTAGAGATTTTAGTATAAGTTGCTCCAGAGGCAAACTCTGAGGTAACAATTTAGTTTCAAGAAGTTTATTTAGGAGATGATCTTAGGAAACAGCAATAAGGAGAAAAGAAGTGAGACAAGTCTGTGGAGACAGAGCGTTACCAGGCCTAGCAACACCAGTGTGGGTAACAGCAGCCTAAAGAATGGTACAGTAGGCTTCCAGGGGTGTTAATTCCCCAAGACTTCCTAGCTACTTTAGTTGGCAAAGTTGTCTTTGGTGGCCAAACAATCTTTTCATGGTGAGGAACATTTTTTTCTGCCAATGCTTACTGCAGTATTTATAACATCACTTGAAAGCCATACAAAAGGATAAACACAGGTAGCCTTGAATCAGTGAAAGAGAAATATATCAGTCTTCTCAGGAGCTCACTGGACATTGATGGAAGTGAACCATACAACTTGTGGGTGGAGATAGGAGAGAGGAACTGGGAGAGAATGAGGGAATAGAAGACACTATGGTGAAGGACATTACTGATTATCTAACTCATGTAATCACAATCCCTCTGTACATCACCTCCATAATAACAACAAAGTAAATTATTTTTTTAAAAAAGATATAACCAGACTCATTGTCCTTGAGCAGGTCTTTCCCCATCCTTGACAGAAACTCAGGAACTGGACCCCCGCAAGCATTGTTGGTGTTACAGGAAGCACTAATGGAGAAGGTGTATAGGCAGATCAGCCAAACATTCCCCCTTAAAAGACAGCAATTTTTTAAATTAAATTACAAACAAGGTTTATTGTAAAAATCACTTGTAGATATTTTATAAGTATACTGATAAAGAATTGTTTGCCCATCAAATAACGCTATTTTTAATGAAATCATACGGAATTTTGTTACCAATCACTGGATTTTAGAGTATATAAAATTCATATTATCTTTACTAAGAATGTAAAGCCTGCTTGGTCACATACTTTCAATTCTAGAACTAGGTCTGGTCATCCAGGACAGAAAATATCAATCACATCATATAGCAAAAACTGGGAAGCCAGATGCTGGTGGCTCACAACTATAATCCTTACTACTCAGTAGGCTGAGATCTAAGGATCATAGTTTAAAGCCAGCCCAGACAAGAAAGTCTGTGAGACAATTATTGCCAATTAATTATCAAAAACCAGAAGTGAAGCTGTGGCTCAACTGGTAGACCAAAAAGCTCAGAGATAGCACCTAAGCCCTGATGTCAAGTCCCAGAATTGGCGTGTTCGTGCGCACGCACACACACACACACACACACACACAGAAGATAACCATGAAACCATTTCATGATTTCCAGAGTGATTTAGCAGATATGTTTTTCTTCTGTGTTTGTGTTAGGTGAGAGTAGAAAAGATAGTAAAATCAGTTCCTTTTCAGGACAAAACTAATTTATCAATGTATAACAAATTTTGATCTTACCAAAACTTAAAGAGAAATTATTGAAGATAACATAATTAACTATTAACTTAAACTATTAGATAAATCCCATTCTAAACTATTAAAACAAAGAAATATCTTTTTTGGGGGGGGGATCCGGTCATGGGGCCTGAACTCTGGCCCTAGGCGCTGTCCCTCAGCTCTTCAGCTCAAGACTAGCGCTCTACCACTTGAGCCACAGCACCACTTCTGGCTTTTTTCTTTTTGCTTATGTGGTGCTGAGGAATCGAACTCAGGGCCTCAGGCATACAAGGCAAGCGCTCTACCACTGAGCTACCTTCCCAGCCCCAAAGAAATATCTTAAATGTATGGTTCCAAGGAACATTTCCAGAGCTTTTGTTTCCTTCTCTTACTGAATGAAGCCCAGCCTTCCTTCAGGAAATAGTCTTAAGAGTAGAATATTTTATGCAATTTGACAGAATAAAGAAGAGCATAAAAATACCCACATCAAAAATAAGAACTAACTTATGCCAAGTTCTGTCTTTTGCCTTGCGGGAAAATGACTTATATTCTGAATTGGAGCTATTATTCTATTTTTGATATGATTAAAATTGTTCATAGAAAGAGTAATTTGAATAATCTTGCAAAATATGATTGGCTTATAAGCTACTCTTTTGAACATATTTTTACTTTAAAGTAAAACATCCCAATTTCCAATTCAAATGACTTTCAAAAATTTAGTCTGACACCATGTATTCAATTTGATCCTTTTTTGTACATATTACACATTTTCATGCAATTTGCAGTTGTATAGGAAATTAAATGAAGGACATTATTTCCCTTATCAACACTTACATTTTTCCCAACAGTAAAAACTTAAGAAAAACATTATTATTATTATTATTATTGTAATATGACTAGATGCTTCAACCTGCAAATGTGACACTTGTATCTTCAGATGTTCAACATGCAATAAAGCCAAATAAATCAAATCGACATTGATAAATGAATCAGGACAAAAGGTATTTCCACATTTCAACATGACATATAAACCATCTTTATTGATGATCATAAGAGGCTTTCAAAGTCATTTGCCTTTTTTACATAGGGCCAAATTTAATAATAGTTCAATTTAATTTGAAAAGAATGTTAGAATAAAGCTTCCTTATCTCCTTATTTACCTTCAACAGATTCTAAACTTTAAAATATACAAAAACAGAACTTTGACTCTGATTTTCTTTTTCCTTTTCTTTTCTCTTCTTTCTCTCTTTTATTCTGTGACATTCACTTGTGAGTGGAAACATGGGCACAGTTAAAAGATAAGATGAATACCTTTTGCTAAAACTAAAAATAACAAAAAAGTAACTCATGTCTACTTGCTTGCTTAATGGGAGGGCTGACTGCTTGGTCTCTTGACTTGGCATTGACTATATGTTTCTTGCTTTGAAATGCATCTAGCTCAGGGAAATAAAGAGAAAGAAGTATCTGAATGCCTGGATCCAGCAATGCCTGAAGTACTATTCTAGAACTTTTGCTTATGATTTCCAAATATTTTGTGATTTAACTGGCTTTTAATTAGTTTTCTAAACTAATGGTGTTTTGTGTTTTGAAGATATCTGTGGTTTAAAGGGATATAGATTTACAAATGAAAATTTAAGTTTTTGATGAAGAAAGAACTCACATAATTCAAAACTTTTATACTTGCTTACGACATGAGCGCTCCTCACCACATGAAGGTTAGAATATGAGTTAATTATATCATCACTTCTGCTGAAGATTAAAAAGGGTTTTTTAAGTTGTAAATTTTTTAAACTGTAAATTAACAGATTTAGGAGACACATGAATGATTTTCCAAATTAGATATGCAGTATATGATATGGAGTATCTTGTAATTTAAAAAACTAACCCAAAATAAATAAAATTTCTTCATTAATGATGAATTAATATTATACTTTATAATATAAGTAAATAAAATGCTTATTGATTGCTGGAAAATGTGTTCCTGTCTTTTTCTACTTTAAATGATACTTTGGTTCCTTGTTAGTCTGTACAGGCATAATAGTAAATAAACCAACTTCTACTAACTGATCACAACTTTGTAAACAATTTATGTGCTGTAGCACCTGAACTTTTTAACATCTTTTCAACATGGTATCTGAATGGCTTATTTAAAGATGAACACCTGAACTGTCATTACATATACAACTAGAATTGTAAGCCCAACTTTTTTTTTTAATTGTGAAAATACCGTACAGAGGGGTTACAATTACATGGCATGGTAATGAATGCATTTCTTATCAAGCATTGTTGCCTCCTCCTTTATTTCCCCTTCCCATCCCTTCCCATCCCCCTCCCACCCCCTGCTCCACGCCAAGGTTGTAAAATTCATTTTCAACATAACATCTTATACATCAAATTGTTGCAATAGATCTACCTGTATCCTAATTTAAACAATGTTAAATTTTGTTTTTTCCCTTCCTCTCCACAAATTATACCAACATCAAATACAGTTGCCCCAACATCAAATACAGTTGCCCCATTTGTTAGGAAATGGAAAGACTTGGAAAAAATTCTATTAAGTGAAGTAAGCCAGGCCCAAAGAAACATAGGTCCCATGGTTTCCCTTATTTGCAATAACTAGTATATGTCTGAGACAAGCAGAAATGGTCAGATAAGTTGATGTTAAGCAAAATGAATCCCAAGGTAAGGATTCAAATGGTT